AGGTCTTGCAGCAATGTAAATTAATTATTTGGGATGAATGCACGATGGCACATAAAAAATCTTTGTAGGCTTTAGACAGAACCTTAAAAGATCTACGGAGCAATCATGACCAATTTGGTGGTGCAATGATTTTATTAGCACGACATTTTCGTCAAACATTGCCAGTGATTCCACGATCAACACCAGCTGATGAACTCAATGCATGTCAAAGTCTTCCAATTTGTGGAAACATGTCAGAGTACTTCATTTAAGCAAGAATATGCGTGTCGAGTTGCAAAATGACCAATCTGGAAACATATTCTCTAAAAAACTCATTGACATTGGTAATGGCAAATTTCCAATAGACATGTTGACTGGCTGCATTAATTTCCTCAAAAATTTTGTCAGTTAACTCGATCAAAATATGAACTTATTCAGGTGTTTCCATATGTTTCTCAAAATTACAGAACCCATGATTGGTTGAGAGAACGAGCTATATTGGCTGCAAAAAACACAGATGTATATGAATTAAATTTAAAAATTCAAGAACAAATTATAGGCGAATCGAGGATATATAAATCAGTTGATTTGGCTACTAACCAAGATGATGTAGTGAACTATCCACCAGAACTCGCTGGATTTGCCAGGATTGCCACCTCACAATCTCCAATTAAAAGGTTGGATCGGTAGTTATAATGTTGCGAAATATCAACCAACCACGCCTTTGCAACGGCACACGGTTAGCGATAAAAAATTACTAACAACGTGATAGAAGCAACTATACTGAAAGGAAAGTATAAAGGAGAAGACGTTCTCATACCGCGCATCCCAATGATTCCGACTGATGTGCCGTTTAACTTTAAACGATTAGTTTCCAGTTCGGCTTGTTTTTGCTATTACCATAAACAAGTCACAGGGGGCAATCATTAAGTGTTTGTGGTATTAATCTGAAAAACCCATGTTTCTCACATGGTCAATTGTATGTTGCCTGTTCCCGTGTTGGAAAACCATCAGATTTGTTTGTATATGCGCATCATTTTCAAATGAAGTGCCCGTGGTGTTGTCACGAGGTTCTTGATGCTAACTGATGCTGCGCAGATCGAGCAAAACTCGGTGCACCGGAAGAACCCACTCGTCTTTTTCTACCATGAAAAGTGTAACCACGGAAAACTCCCGGAGTTGTCGAGGCGGCGAAATACTCGAAGAAAAAGTTGGTAGAAGCTGTAACGAAATATCGCCTCTTCTATCAGTCGTTCTTTGTCAGACAAGAGTGT